CAGGGAGCCCGATGCGGGACTCGATCCTGGGACTCCAGGATCATGACCTGAGCCGAAGGCAGTCGCTTAACCAACTGAGCCACCCAGGCGCCCCGAAGTTTTTATTTATTTATTTGACAGAGAGATAGACAGAGCCAGAGAGCACAAGCGGAGAGAATGGCAGAGGGAGAGGGAGAAGCAGGCTGTGCACTGAGCAGGAAGCCCGGATGTGGGACTCGATCCCAGGACCCTGGAATCATGACCTGAGCCAAAGGCAGACGCTTAACCATCTGAGCCACCCAGGCGCCCCTGTGTTGCAATTTAAAAGTATATTTAAATTTATATTCACAGAGGGGAGAAAGCAGAGCCTCATCTCTACAAAAAGTATGTAATGTTTGGGATCTAGTTCTGTTGTAAGATAATCATACCTCTTATTCAACTTTTTGACAGGAGGAGAGATTCTCAGTGTCAGGCATTTGTGAAGAGAGTCATAATGAGTCGTCTTTTTAAGATGATTATGATTAGCATCGTCTCACTGAATGCCTTTTTTGTGGTCTTGTGGACTGATTATAATACAAAATACAACTTGTTCAGACTTTTTGAGGTAAGCAGACAAAATGGGTAAAGTTTCTTCTGTTTCATCCTTTTTATTTGTGAAAATGTTATAAGATTTTTCAGGCGTTTTGTTCAAGAAAATTTCCCATAGAAAAGCTCTAAGGACTTAAAAAATAGACTCTAAAGTCTGGAAAGATGGCAGCAAAATAGTAGCAGTGGTGACATGGTCTTTTAATCTCTCCGAATTTCCTCCAAAAAAGAAAAAAAGAAAAAAAGAAAAACAACCCGGAGCACACCTGGGTGGCTCAGTCCAGTTAAGCACTCAGCTCTCGGTTTCGGCTCAGGTCATGACCTCAGGGTTGTGAGGCTGAGCCCCGTGTCGGGCTCCGCACTCAGCAGGGAGTCTGCTTGGGATTCTCTCCCTCTTTCCTTCCCCCGCGTGCGTGCGCTCTCTCTCTCGCTCAAAAAATAAATCAATCAATCTTGAAAAAAACGAAATGGAGCAACTTGGGAGCAAAACCAAAACCCATGGGCAAGACTGAAATCAAAACTAGTTAAAAAGGTATCCTTACTATGAGCCACAACTGCACAGTATTAGCCTCTGAGGGAGAGGAAGCAGAGGACGTTCAGTAAATACTAACTGGAAAATATGGGCTGATGTGAGAACAGCATTTTTTAATTAACATATACTGTATTATTAGTATATAAGATAGAATTTAAACAGCCTCAAATTACTTAATTTAAGGTAGCATTTAGTGATTCATCAGTTGCATATAACACCCAGTGCTCATTACCTCAAGGGCCCTCCTTAATGCCCGTCACCCTATTACCCCATCCCCCACCCACCTCCCCTTCAGCGACCCTCAGTTTGTTTCCTATAGTTCAGAGTCTCTTATTGTTTGTCTCCCTCCCTCTTTTTATCTTATTTTATTTTTCCTTCCTTTCCCCTATGTTCATCTGTTTTGTTTCTTAAATTCCACATGTGAGTGAAATGATATGGTATTTGCCTTTCATTGACTGACTTATTTCACTTAGCATAATACCTTCTAGTTCCATCTACATTGTTACAAATGGCAAGATTTCATTCTTTTTGATGGCTGAGTAATATTTCATTGTATATATATACCACATCTTCTTTATCCATTCATCTGTCGGTGAACAGTATTTGATATTGGGAAGGGTGTTGTTCAGTCCAGTACTGGGTTAGTGCAAGAGGTTCCTGGTAATTTCTGAAGGGTGTATAACAGTCTGGACCTTGTGAAGTCTGAAGAGTGACCAGCCAAAGCTCCCTTCAGGGACATTCCCCTCCCCTCCCCGCTCCTGCTCCCCATCCACTTAGAAGAAATAATGGGAGTGGAATAAAAATTGAGCAGGGTAGAGAGCCAGAGATGAAGAAAGAGAAGGTCCAGATAAAATTGGAGGAGGGGAATGGAACGAAGAAACCTTAAAAATCAAGCTAGCACATCTTTAAAACAGAAGAGGGAGCTATGTGAAGTTAGCACCACACATTTGAAAAGTTCAGGAAAAGTAATGTCATAGGAAAAAGTATATTATAAAGAGATTGAGGTAAAATCCCACACAGAATTATTATGAAATGAGAAAAGAGAATAAATTGGAGAATAATATCCCTGTAGATAGTAGAAGCCCACCACAAAGACATGTCCACAAAACAGATAAAAACTGTAGCATCTTTCTTTCTTTTTTTTTTTTTTAAAGATTTTATTTATTTATTTGAGAGAGAGAGACACAGCGAGAGAGGGAACACAAGCAGGGGGAGTGGGAGAGGGAG